TTCAAGATATTGGCATTATTGCTCGTATCTAATAAAAAATTAAAAAATGAGCCGAATAGTTCAAGATATTGGCATTTTGTCCCTATCTATAAAAGTTAAAAAATGAGCCATATAGTTCAAGGTAGTTTTTTTTTTTATGTGTGATAAAAATTTTTTTTGTCTAATTTTTTATTTTTGAAATATTTTTTTTTTTGTTATCAAAAAATTTTAATTAAAAATTTTTTAACAAATAATATTTTACGAGAAAGTCATATTCGCTCAATTAATGTATACGATTAATTGCAATCAATTAATTTTAACAAAATATTCAATTATTCTTCACGTGTTTAAATATAACCTCGTACGTGAGGATAACTACGAACATGTCAAATTTATTAGTTAACAAAAATAAAAATAAAAATAAATTTTATTTTTGAATAATTTATTACTCAATAAAAAAACTTTTAATTAAAAATTAAGTTAAGATGTGAAAAAGATTGTTTTTTTAAATTTATTTATCTCATTGTAAATTTTTGTTTTTGCTAAAAACAAATGAAAAAGAAGAAAGCTAAAATTATTGGATTAAAATAAAACTAAACAAAAAAAAAGTAAACGGCGGGAAAAAAAAGTGATTTATGAATTTAATTACAAATTTCATTTCATTTCAATTAATTCATTTCATTCATTAATGTTTATTGTCATTTTTAATATTGTAATTTTATCTTTTTTTTTTTTTTAATTTTCAAGAAGATGACAAAAGCAAAAATGCTTGATAATGTTATTTATCAACAACGTATACGCTACTTTGATGAACCATTTGCATATATTTGCATAAATAATCAAGTGAATAATTATTGCTCATATTGCCTGAGAAAACCTGATAAAAGTATACTTTACAAATGTTCAAAATGTGAATTCGCAAAATATTGCAATAAGGTATATATCATCATATGTTACTTTACAATGTTAACCTTTAACCTTATCATATTGATAACCATATAATAATCATTGATAATAATAACTTTTATAATTGTTATAAAAATTTTTCATTTAAAATTTCATTAAATTTCCTGAAATATTTATGTAAAAAAAAAAAACAAAATTTATTACTTTTTTCTTTTACTGAATTAATTTTTTTTTTTTACAAAAATAACAAAAATTTTTAAAAATAACAAAAAATACCAAAAATACAAAAATTTTTTAAAAATACCAAAATTGTAATTTTCTTTTTTTTTTTTATATTCTTTTTAAATTTAGGAATGTCAACGTTTAGCATGGAAGAAGCATCATCGGATGGAATGTCAACGTTTGGTAATGGTTTATCCAAATTTACCACTTACCGAAGTGCTCTTTCTTAGTCGAATAATCGATAAAGTATTGTTTATTGAACAAAATGGTGATAAATATAAATGGGAAAAAGATCGAAAATGGAATAGTTTAATTGGACATGAAGATGATATTCGAAATGATGAGGTAAAATGAAATTAATTTTAGAATTAATTTTTTTTTTTTAAAAAATATCGAATTATCATTTAAAAAAAAAATTCATTTAATATAAAATAAAATTACTTTCGCAATTTAATTTTTTTCGTTTTTTTTTAAATATTAAATTAAATTATCAAATAATTTTTACAAAGAAATATCAAAAAGTAAAATAAAAATTTCATTTAAGCATGAAATAAATGAAATTAATTAAAAATTAAATTAAAAATTGAAAAAAAAATGAATAATTTTGTTTGCATTTTCAGTTAAAATATGTTCATTTTGAAAAAATTTACGAGAAAATGGCAATATTTCGAAAGGATGAAATGATTGAAAAAGAAAAATTTTATGAAATTTTTTGTAAAACAACAATTAATTCACATGCAATACATACAAATGCTGGTGATGAAATTGGTTTAGCACTTGATTTAGGTATTCTGTTTTTCTTTCTTTTTTTTTAATTTAAATTTTTTTTTAAATATTAAATCGAATTATTAAATAATTTTTAAAAAGAAATGGATTTTTTTCCAATTAAATTATTTAGATATTTGCTTTTTTAATTAAATTATTTAGGTATTTCTTTTTTTTTTTTTTTGAATTAAATCAAATGTTGATCTTAAACAAAACATTCGTTATGTCAATATGAATATAATTAGCTATTATTCGACGATTAATTCAAATTTATTTAAATTCTTTACACCTAATTCAAGTGTTTTTTCTTTAAATTAAATTAAATTAAATTAAATTTAGTCTTTAATAAATTATTTTTCATGCTAATACATGAAATAATTAGCTATGCTAAAATTATCCGATAATTAATTTAAATTTATTTAATTCCTTCCATGCTAGATTATCTATCCTTGAATAAATTAACTTTTTTTTTAATTTCAAAGAATTAATTTTAAGAAGATAGCAAATGTTAGAAATGCAAAAAATTTAGCAAAAATTAGTTTTTTTTTCTTTTTTTAATTTTATTTTAAGATATTTTGTTTGATTCGAAGAAAAAAGAAAATTAATATGTTATCAAGACAAGAAAGAGAGAGAGAGAGAGAGAGGAGGAAAGAGAAAAAAAAAGAGAAGGATAGAAGTTAATAG